AGATTGCCGGGAGAAATATCAATAACCTCAGATATGCAGATGACACCACCCTTATGGCAGAAAGCAAAGAAGAACTAAAAAGCCTCTTGATGAAAGTGAAAGAGGAGAGTGAAAAAGTTGGCTTAAAGCTCAACATTCAGAAAACTAAGATCATGGCCTCCGGTTCCATCACTTCATGGCAAATAGATGGGGAAACAGTGGGAACAGTGGCTGACTTTATTTTTCTGGGCTCCAAAATCACTGCAGATGGTGATTGCAGCCATGAAATGAAAAGACGCTTACTCCTTGGAAGGAAAGTTATGACCAACCTAGACAGTGTATTAAAAAGCAGAGACATTACTTTGCCAACAAAGATCCGTCTAGTCAAGGCTGTCGTTTTTCCAGTGGTCATGTATGGATGTGAGAGTTGGACTGTGAAGAAAGCTGAGTGCCAAAAAATGGATGCTTTTGAACTGTGGTGTTGGAGAAGACTCTTGAGAGTGCTTTGGACTGTAAGGAGATCCAATCAGTCCATCCTAAAGGAGATCAGTCCTGAATATTCATTGGAAGGACTGATGCTGAAGCTGAAACTTCAATATTTTGGCCACTTGATGCAAAGAACTGACTCATTTGACTCATTTGAAAAGACCCTGATGCTGGGACAGACTGAAGGTGGGAGGAGAAGGGGACGACAGGATGAGATGGTTGGATGGCACCATCCACTCAATAGACATAAGTTTGAGTAAACTCTGGGAGTTGGTGATGGACAGGGAGGCCTGGCGTGTTGCAGTCCATGGGGTTGGAAAGAGTCAGACATGACTGAGCAACTGAACTAAACTGACTGACTAAGTCAGACTGCTCTTTTTCCACTGAATGGTCTCCATACCTTAGTTGAAAATTAATTGGCCACAGATAACATGATTTATTTCTGGACTCTCAATTGTTCTGGACTTTCTATTCCATTGATTTTTATATCAATCCTTATGCTAGTACCACAATGATTTAATTGCAATTCTACAAAATTTCATTACAAATAGGTTTGTATTATATTCTGAAATTGGAAAGTGAATCCTCCAACTTTGCTCTTCTTTTTCAGTATTATTTTAGCTATTTGGGGCCCCCTTTTCCATATGAGTTTAAAGATCGGCTTTTTTTTTTTTTGCAAAAAAAAGATCATAAGGATTGGATGAATATGTGAGTCACTTTGAGAAGTACTGCCATTTAAACAATATTAAGTCTTCCAATCCATGAACATGGGATATCTCTTCAGCGATTTAGGTATTCTTTAATTTCTTTCAGCAATGTGTTACATTTTTCACTATATAATTATTTTACCTCCTTGGTTAAACTTTTTCTTAGGTATTCCATTCTCTTGATGCTATTGTAAATGTAACTGTTTTCTTAAGTACCTTTTTGCATTGTTCATTGCTAGTGCATAAAAATATAATTGATTTTTGTATGCTGATCTTATACTAAATTTGCTTATTAACTCTAGAAGATTTAGATGTTTTGAACAGATAACATCTAGGAAGCTTCTCTACTTAAGGAGACCAAAACAAAGGCAAGCCTCTATGTCAGTCCCACAGGGAACTGCCGGATAGTTCAAAATGGAGAAGCACACATTTCTGAGAATAAAGTTATTGCTCCTCTCTCCTGCCCCCAACCTCCACTGTCCCCATGGCTGCCACTGAGCTAAAAAATTGGGGATGGCAGGCATCCAAAAATGCAAAAATGCCACAACACTTTCTTACCAAAACTTAACATTCTTAAACTTCTTCATTAAGCACTCCTTTGGTTGTTTTATGTTTTTTATTAGATTGCAGTGTTTTGAAAAGACTGATCTGTCAGTTTCTGCTAACTTAATGGTTTCTTCATTTTATCTGTTAAGAGAAGCTACTGGGGAAACTCCACCATTCTCCATGATCAGTAGCTTCTTTTTACAAATAAAATTCCACAGAGCACAACTCTTGAGACTATGTCATAAAAGGCACTGAGATGTCCTTGTTCTCTCTCGGAGCACTCGCTCCAAGAGAAGTCAGTTGCCAGACTGTGAAGACTCTCAAACAGACCTATGGGGAGTCTCACATGGCAAGTTGCTGAGACAGCTTACCACCAGTCATACGAGTGAGCTACCTTGGAACTGCAGTCCTTGTCAAGCCTTCAGATGACTATAGCTCTGACCAACATTTAAACTGCAACCTCAGAAGAGACTCTGAGTCAAAGTCATCCAATTAAGTCACTACTGAAAAAACGATCTACAGATACCAAAAAATAATAAATGTATATTGCTTTAAACCGCTAGGTTTGGGCAGTATATGATATTTAAAGCTGAGGCCTGAAAGATGAGAAGCTAGTCATCCAATGAGTTCTAAGGAAGAAGAGTGTTTCAAGCAGAGGGAATGGCAAATGCAAAGGCCCTGCATAAGGAAAGGTGACTGACATGTTAAAAAAAAAAAGAACTTGAAAGAAGATCAATGTTACGGGAGCTCAGTGAACAAGAGGAAAACAGTGAAGAAAAGAGATCACCAAAACGGCAGAAAGTAATTGAAGTGACTGTAACGAAGTCTTTAAAACAGTGAAAATTGCTAAGTTCTAGGGTAATCAAAGGTACCTTATCCATAAAAACATGGAAATCAACCTATAATTAAGTAGAGGTAGATAAGAGCAAAGCAGTAATAGTCACTAGTCCAAAGACAGCTAGGCAGTTAACTAGTCCAAAACTCACGACAGGCTCACATAAGGTGAAGGAAAGCCACTGGGTACTACCCCAGAGGGGCAAAAACTAGACTTTTTAGAGAATATAACCTTATTGAAAAGTATATAACTCTGATAAGCCAATGTTGCTTATTTTTAGAAGTACTAATAAATATTGGATTGAAAACTGAGCATAAGGTCTTAATGAAGAGGCCTAAAAGTAAAAAAAACCTAGTTTTATTCTTGGGTTTCTCACTAGTTTTGTCAACTTTGGTAAATAACTTCATTCCTAATTTAATTTCACTTAACCACAAAATGAAATAATAATATACACATGTCCAGTCTTACCTTTTTTAAGATCAAATAAAATAATATGATAAAAATGCTTTGAAACTACCAAAAAAAAAAAAAGACATACACAAATCTGATCATTTGTAGAGAGAAACCAAAAAAACCTAACTGTATCTATTATCACACAGGAACCCAGCGTGGAAACTGTAACCCTTTGAGAGTACGAACCAAGATCGTTACATCATCCCATATTACTTACAGAAACAACACCTTTATGAGGACGCTATTTTACAATTCTGAATGGTGAAATCATTGGTGAAAAAATTTATATCTAGAATGCAAGCTTAAAGCATCTGTCTCACCAGGCAGTCCACAGCTACTGCCAAATGAATAACTAATGCAGCTGAATACCTAAAGAAAATGATTACGAATCAGTTCTGAGGCTTCCCTTCTGGCTCAGTGGTAAAGAATCTACCTGCCAACGCAGGAGACCTGGGTTCAATCCCTGATCCGAGAAGACCCCACATTCCATGGAGCAACTGAGCCCGTGCTCCAGAGTCCAGGGGTCACAACTACTGAGCCCTCTCGCCATAACCACCGAAGCTTGCACACCCTGGAGCCCCTGATCTGCAAAAAGAGAAGCCAGTTCAATGAGAAGTCCAGTCACTGAAACTAGAGCCCACATAGCAACGAAAACCCAGTATAGCCAATTAAAAAAAAAAAAATCAGCTGAAAAGATGCACACTTGTCCTTGTTTTGGGATACCACATGGCACAAGGTTTAATAACTGGTGAAAAGAGTAAAAGAATTTCAAAAGAAATGCCAGTTAGATAACCAGTCTCTGAAATTAAAAATAAATCTGAGGGCTTCCTGGTGGCCCAGTGGTTAAGAATCTGCCTGCCCATGCAGGGGACACAGGTTCAGTCTGGGGTCAGGGAGGACCCCACAGGCCGCAGGGCAGCTAAGTCCAGGCACCACAGCTACTGAAGCCTGTGCGTGCTCTGCAAGAGAGAAGCCACCACAGTGAGGAGCCCCATGCACCACAACCAGAGAGCAGCCCCTTCTCGCCACAACCGGAGAAGGCTAACAGGCAGAAGCGAAGAACGAGAGCAGCCAAAAAATAAGTAAATAATAAGTGTTTAGGGTAAATTTGAATCAGCAAAATAACAGGATTTGTATACAAAAACCTTAAGATTAATTTTAAAAACCTTCTTTGGGAAAATACAGATGATGTTATCAAAGACTTCAATCATTATAAACATAAAATATCTGTGTTTTCAGATTTAATGACTGACTGAATACCCAAGAGGTATTCATCTCTATATCCTAACCAGAAAAAAAAAAATTACATAATTTGAAACAAGGAAACAAATCATTAGTGAATCACAGAAATGGTAGACACTATTAAACGTGATATAAAGATATAACCTTTTACTTTATTAAAATGCACTGATGCAGTAATTTAAAGTAAATGGAATAACCTGTCCTTTTATGTACCTCCTGCTTTCTCTAATAACCCATCTTCTGCTGTAGTATTTCATCTACAGTATCGATGATCAGTTAAAAGCAAGTTCCAGAAAACATGACATCAGTTCAGTTCAGTTTGGTTCATTCGCTCAGCTGTGTCTGACTCTCTGTGACCCCATGGACCACAGCACGCCAGGACTCCCTGTCCATCACCAACTGCCGGAGTTTACTCAAACTCATCTCCATTGAGTTGGTGATGCCATCCAACCAAATTGACCAAATTCAAGAAAACATTTATTCAACAAACAAGAGAGCTATTATCAACTAGACAACAGATACTGTATAAGCTTACTATATTAACCTTACATCCCCCATTAGTCACTAATGCTTAGCTACCAGAAAAGAGTAGCAAACATTTAATAAAAACAAAGTATATTTTGAGATTTAATAAACAAATATACTTCTTCTGTACAATAAAACAGAAAGTGCTACTGATATATTTAAAGAAAAAAATGAAATTCTAAAAAAATCCTAAGAAAAAGATTAACTTTTTTAGGGTAATTACGAACCGAATTTTCTTCCTCCTCTTCCAGTTCTCGCTGCTGTTCTTCATGTCTTTTAGCTTTGATCTCCATTGCTTCTGTGATCAGGTCTCTTAAAATCGATACAGGTTTTGCATTCTTAATAAAAGGGTGCTAGAAAAGTAAAATTCAATGGTATAAATTCAAATGGCTTCTCTGAATTATATCTTAAAAACATTAAAACAATATGTAAATGTGAACCAGGATAATAGGCTTCAATGATTGGTCCTTTATCCAGAATTAAATTAAGAACAGGTTAAGAACAGAGAATATTTCAACTGCTTTAGAACTAAAGATTTTACTTTTTAGGTTTACTTGTTTTTAAAAAACCACTGCAGAACACAAAAACAAATGTAATCCTTTTGATAAAAATATATCACCATTAGAGATATAGTTTTCCAAAGGAAGTATAGATTATGTAGTCAAAAAGGCAATTTTTTTTTTTTTAATTGGCGTATGTGTATGCTCAGTCGCTCAGTCACATCCAACTCTGCAACCCCATGGACTGCAGCCTGCCAGGCTCCTCTGTTCATGGGATTCTCCAGGCAAGAATACTGGAGTGGGCTGCCATTCCCTTCTTCAGGAGATCATTCTGACCCAGGGATTGAACCCAGGTCTCCTGCATTGCAGGCAGATTCTTTACTTCTGAGCCACCAGGGAAGCCCAAAGATCAGTGATTATATTACATATAAAAATAAAATGATTTTGGTATTGTTACAAATTTTAACTAATCTTAACAAGCCAACAGCTAAAATCAGTAGTCAAAAGGAAGACAACTATTTTTACTTCTTTTACATATTTTCTATTTATTATATATTTAATAATGTAATCATTTCCAAGGGAAAACTAAAAAATAGTAATGAGAAAAATATTTTTCAGAAAATAAGTACTGCTTAATTTCTATACTATATATAAAGTAACTTTTCACCTCTTTTTTTGTATCATCCTGATCCAGCTAAGACATCTGAGTTTGCTACAATTCTGATAAACAGAAATAGAACCACCAGGAAATACCTGAGTGTTTAACAACTTTGTAATTCAGAAGGGGGATCATGAGAGAATATAGACGGAAAGGTTAAAAGTTTAATTTGGACTAGATAACTGTATTTTGAGTCAGCAATACACCTTCAAAATGTCATTTTCTTAATTATATGTCAGCAGATAAGAGTCAGATGAAAGTCATCTGAGTTATTTTAATAAAGATTAATACAACACAAAAATATTTTTAAAGGTAAAACAATTTTAGTGCTAAAGAAGAAATTTACTGACATTTGTAGGAGGCTTTAAAATGGTGAAGAAAACTATGGGAAAACTATGAGTAAGAATTTTACCTGAATACAGAAGTTCTAGGATAATGACAAAGAACAAATAAATTATTTTATAGTGGTTATAGACTGATCACCAGATAAATTAAATTCTATCAACATACCTGTGATGGAGACTCCTAGTCACCCACCAAAACAGAGCTGGGACTGGACCTATGGCTGCCCAGCTACATCCTACATCTCTCAGACTCCCTTTCAGTTGGTTGTGATTATGGACTAAGTTCTCACCAATGCCATAGAGGTATTTCATTGGTACTGAATGAAATGCCAGTGTCTGTGTTGTGTTCTACCCCTTTGATCTGGGCCTCAGAACAGAGAGTGGGAGCTCTTCTGTGATTTCTTTTCTTTCTGCCACGCTGGGAAACAAAGACAGTGTCCTAAAGGAGGGGGGAGCAAGAAGGAAGAAGCCCCAGCCCTGCTACCAGAGTTTCTGAGTAACACTGGAAGAGGCTGCAAACGGTAGCAATAACTGAAGATGCGCTCCTTGCCCTTAAACAACTTATTACCCAGAATAAGGAATAAAAGATAAACGCATAAAAAAATTACAGTGTGACATTCATGATGATCTAGCACAGTCTATATGATTAAGCAAATTAAAAGTAAAAGAATAGGTGAAGTAATATCAGGTGTCTCCTGGAGAAGAAACACTGTTTCAGGGAGAAGGAAAAGTATGAATGATACGAACACACACACAAAGATAGGAGATGGATGTGAAAACACCGTAGGGAGAGCTGCTGAGCCAAAAGAGAAACGCGGCCTACAGAAATGGTGTCCTAAGGGTTTAGACACAGGTAACAGTGGGACAAGAACAATAAATATTCAGAATGAGACACCGGAATTTTGCCTGACAGCCCCTTTAATTACATAGACGAGAGAATAGTGTAAGGAAAAGAATGTGATACCACAATCTTGCAGTAGAGTTTAGGAATGAAGTAAGATGGGGAGAAACTGTCAAACAGGTGTAAATTATTAAGAACCCAGGTTAAAAAAAATAGCTGCCACAATCAAGAGGAAATACTGAATCTGATGGGAAAAACTCTTAAGAAGGATTTAGAGCCTATGTATTAATAGAAGTGAAGGAAGACTAACACAGCAAAAGCTGAGAACCAGTAGAACTGTATCTCTTTACAGAGGCAAAAAAATACCTAATTGTATTTATACTTTATCTTTTCAGGAAAAATTATGAGCCAAATTCCAAGCAACAGTTTTATCTTTAAGAAATGCCAAAGTACACCATCCAGTCTATTGCAAACTTACTTTCATGCAGTTTGCTGTGAACTGACTACACAGTGTTATGCTACCATTAGTCTACAGAGCTTAACATTCCTTATCTCAAAATCTCAGCATGTCTTACTCCATTTGTACTCATTTTTTCCCTACATAATCACTACAGGCATGATTCTGACCAACAAAGAGGAATTGGCTAATAAAGTTAAAAGGGTACTTTAAGAACAAGCCCACAATATTTGAGCATTCTTGATGGACTGCATCACCGACTCAATGGACATGAGTTTGGGTAAACTCCGGGAGTTGGTGATGGACAGGGAAGCCTGGCGTGTTGCGGTTCATGGGGTTGCAAAGAGTCGGACGCGACTGAACTGAACTGATCATCACAAGAAAAGTTTTATCAGACACATTGGCAGATTTTTGAAGAATATTTGAAAGCTTTTTACAAGCAGCTGGTAGTAAAATTTTAAAATGCAAAGCAACATAGAAAAGAACAGAACAACAACAAAAACCAGAGAAAACAAGGTGGCAAAACTGAAACGTGACACCTGTGACTGAAACGTTATTAGTACAAACCAATATAAATAAATGTGCTGAAATTTCCACTATAGCAGTATTTTAGTTAAGTACTAAAAGATATTTAGTTTGTAAGATAAATTAAACTACATGCTTTCTATATGAGATATACTTAACAAAATAAATCCAAATTACGTTTCTATCAGGGGATACTAAAAAGAACTTGGGGGTTAAAAGTCAAGGACAGGCAATGAAATATCAAACATAAACAATGTCAAGAATAACATGATCCAAAAAAAGCAGAAATGAAGACAAAAAATGGTAAGTGAAGGAAGAGTCATACAATATTAATAAGGGATATAATACAAAGTAAGATATTATAGTTATAAATTTGATATATTAGTACAGCATTATGATATATAACAAAAACAGAGACATAAGAAGATCTAAGTAAATAAGGAGAGGAGACATTAGTATTTCTTTTTTAGTCACTGAGAAATGGAACACTAAAAATTAAAGATTAAAGCAATCTGAATAATATAATCAGACTGAGTTAACAGAAAAATCAATAATCACAAGTAATATCTTTTTGTTAAATGCCTAGAAAAGCATGTGGTACCAGCATAAGAATGGAAAGAACAAGAAAACAGAATATAATGCCTGGAAATAGACTATAATGTACAAAATAAGCTGGCATATTATGAAAATAGCAATTCCAATCAGTGATGAAAAAATACTTGCTGTTTCCTTATTTTGGGGGTTGAGAGGAAGGTTTTGAATTAAGTTAGATCTTCACCACAGAAGTATCAAAATAAACTGGAGATGGATTAAGAAGTCAAAAGTCAAAAAATGGAAATATAAAAGAACTGGTAATACAGGAGAATATTTATATGTTCAACCCAGTGCTATGAAACAAACAAAAAAAAAACCATAAATCAACTAAAAATTTAACATTTATGTCAGACAAGAGGGTAGTTACTTAAAAGAGTTTTAAAAAGAGTATCAATAAGATAAACAGACCAAGTTCTAAAAGGCAAGACAGTTTCCCTATTTCTAAATGTATCCAGGGTTTTTACCCCAGTCCAGCCTTAGGACTCGCTGCTTTCACTTCAGCAACCCAGGCTCAATCCCCGGTCTGGGAACTAAGATCCCGCAAACTGTGTGGCGTGGCAAAAAAAAATCAAGTATCTAAAGTAAAACATAAACTAAAAGAGGACAAGAATTCTTACACCACTTGAACTGAAGAGAGAGACTACCCAAAATCAGCCTATCACATTCTTGGTCATGTATTTTAAGAAGTAAAGCTGCTTAAACTTTATGTTCTGAGTTATCAATTTCTAAACTGAAAGAATTTAAATTAATTTCTTCCAAGGAGTGAAGTGCAGAAGAGACTTCTGCTTCTAGACCGATCGGACAGTCGTCCTTTCCTCCTACCGCTCCGTCAAAGCACAGTGAAAACCCTGGACGTTACATACAAACAAGCCCAGGAAGACACTGGACGGTGGAGAGCAGGTGGCAAGCCAGCTCGGGGCTGCAGGACTGAAGCAAGGGCTCAGCTGTGAGTTCCACGGGCTTCCCTTTTACTTCGTTTATCCCAGACTGGTTACTGACGAAGCCAGGAACCCAGACACACCAGCGGACACAGACTAAAACAGCCCCTACAAAAGCCTGCTCTCTCTGGAGTCAAAGGATCAGGAAAGGGACAGTTAGCCAGCACGCAGCCCTCTCTTAAACAATAGCCATTCTGCTCCACCCAAACCCTGCAGAGCGAACAGTGGCCCCACCCCATGTGGCGAAGGCTGGATGGGGAACCTAGACTTCCACCCTCTGGAGGCTGTCCAATCCTTTCCCTGCAGCGGCATCAGAGAAGACCAAATGTTAAGCTGGGTGTTCATCCACACTCAGCAGTATAAGAGGTGCTTCCCTCCCCCGGTGGGGAGGTTGGTGGAGATCTCGTGACAGTCTGGACTTCCAGCACTATCAAGCCGTAATAAGGAAACCCCACCTCCCTCCTTGCTAGAGGGGAGAATCAGAACTTCCATCACTACCCAGCTCTACTGAGGCCCTGCAGCGCCTGCGGAGGCCGCTGAGGGAATCTGAGTCCTCAACCCTGGCTGGTGGTAATGAGGAGCCCCCCCGCCCCCCAAGTCAAAAGAGACCACGTAGGGGGCCTGGACTTCTAATGCTACCTGACAGAAATGATGGTGCCCCTCTACCTCACTGAAGCGCTATCAAAGGACACCCCTTATTACAGAATTCAAGTGAGATCCAGCGTCTCAAAACCTAATACTCAAAATGCCCAGGTTTCAGATGAAAATCACTCATCATAAGAAGAAGCAAGAAACTATTAACTGGGAAAATACATTCAACAGATACCAACATCGAGATGAGATGGATAACAGAATTATCTAGCAGGGATTTTAGAGCAGTCATAAAAATCCTTCAATGAGCAATTACAAACATGCCTGTAAACAAGTGACACATTAGAAAGTCTCAGCAAAGAATGAGAAGATACAAAAGAGAAACAAATGAAAAATATAAAACTAAAATATATAAAAATAAAACCTGATGGATGGACTGGCTGTACAGCAGAATGAGGACAGAGAGGACTCAGTCAATCAGAATATGAAACAGTAGAAATTACACATTATGAATGACAGAAACTAAACTGGCATAAAAATGAACAGAATCTCAGGAATCTGTGGGACTGAAACAAAAAAATCCAAACACTTGTGTTAATGGAGTCCTAGAAAGAGAATAGAGGGGAGGGCCGAAAACTGACTGATAAAATGATAGCTGGAAACTTCCCCACACTGGCAAGAGATGTAAACCCACAGAGTCAAGAAGCTGAACATATTCTACACAGTACAGACCCAAAGAAATTCATACCAACACACATCATAATTAAACCTCTGAAAATAAAGACAAAGAAAAAAATCTTGAAAAGACCACGGGGTAAAACAATTCAGATGACTGTAGACTTGTAGATTTCTCATAAGAAACCACGGATATCAGAAGATCGTGGCACGGCATTTTCCAAATATTGAAAGAACTGTCAAGCAAGGAAGGAGTCTACAGCCAGTGAAAACATCCATCAGGAATGAAGAAGAAACAAGACGTTCTCAGGTGAAGGAAAATTAAGCGAATTTGTTAACAAAGGCCTACCCTAAACGAAAGGCTAAAGGAAATCTTCTAAACAGAAAGAAAGGAACAAAAGAAGGAACTTCTGGAACATTAGGAGGAAGAACACTGGAGAGAACATAAACAGGTTAAACAGTTGTCCCTTATCCTGGTTTTCTCAATCGTTTAAAGGTTAAAATAAATATAACACTCTGATATGGACCTCAATGTAATGAAGAGGAAGTATTAAAGATAATTATATTATAAATGGGAGGGACACCAAGGTAGATAAAGTTTCTATTCCTTACTTCAACTTGTAAAATGAAAACCAAGTCATATGGCAGGAGAGTTCACAAAGTGACCCACGACACCACTTATTCCAGCCAAGCCCATGGGCTAATTTGAATAATGACAGATCTCACTCTTCTAGAAGGCCAGACTAGGGCAAAAATTGACTTTCAGGTTCTAGGCCACCCACCAGAAGTACAGGGAACAGTTCCAGACTAGGAATTCTAGTGCCACCAGGCTGAACTTTAACTGTCCCTGGGGATTCAATATCCTCTTCTTTTAAAAACTACCAAGAGTTCAGCTTAATCTCAAAGGATCCTTTCAGTCTTAGCCTGCTCTTTTAAACTTATACAATTATCTAGTGTTGGAAAATAAGCACTATAAAAAATTCAGCACAAATTCCTTTTTAAAACCTGTTTATCAAAGTCGAGAAATCAATGTGGTAAAATCTACACATGTAGGTTATAGGCAAATGTCCACTTAAACTTGGTAATAAGACTATATTCTTAAAGTTAAAACATAATTTAACTTATAACATATAAAACATATGCAAAACTCCCTTAAGAGACAGAATAGGATGGCTTTCAGACATTCAGTAAAATAAAACTCGGAGTCTAATATTAGAGACTCAAATGATACAACAGATAGTAATTCTGTCTAAAAGCTTTTAAAATCAGAAGTTTGCTATCTTAAATAAACATATGTTGAATTTAATACACATATATTAAGCACTACATGTGTATTAAAGATACCAGGATATAGATACCTGTATTAAGATACCAGGAATACAAAAACAACCCCCTCCCCAAAAAGAGTACCACTTGACCTTGAGCTAGTTACAATCCAGGACAAAGACACAGAAACAAGTAATTTCATTCTAATATGGCAAATGACATGCCCAGGATGCTTATGGAAACCCAGAGAAACAATTAGCCTGAACAAAGATGAAGGGAAGGCTTTCTGGAGGAGTACCTACTTTGAATTTAGAAACAATGAGACAATGAGTAAAAAGGAGCCTGCCGGTAAAGGCGGTCTTTAAACTAGCAAGTGAGGGGTGAGAAAAGGTACAGAGGATTGAAATAACATGATCTGTATGAAACATGAAACTGCAAGTCGACTACTTCAGCATTTATAAAGGGGAAAAAAAGGGAGGTCAAGCAAGGGGTCAATTAAGAAGCCAGAGGAGGACACACCAACATTATAAGAGAGGGCCTCCACGCTCAACAACAGCACAACAGGAAAAGTTTTTTTTTTAATCAAGAGAACAAATACTGGCTCATAAGCACTATACAAAACCAGCTGCACTGTTTGCCCTCAATATAAAGAAAAATGCTTGAGCCAAACCCAGCTAGAAGCCAGAGAGTAACGAGCTTATTAATATAGTCCGTACAGGTCAACTGGGCTTCCCATGTGGCTCAGCTGGTAAAGAATCTGCCCGCAATACGGGAGACCTGGGTTTGATCCCTGGGTCGGGAAGATCCACTGGAGAAGGGAAAGGCTACCCACTCCAGTATTCTTAAGGGCTTCCCTCGTGGCTCAGCTGGTAAAGAATCCGCCTGCAATGTGGGAGACCTGGGTTCAATCCCTGGGTTGGGAAGATCCCCTGGAGAAGGGAAAGGCTACCCACTCTAGTACTCTGGCCTGGAGAAGTCCATGGACTGTATAGTCCATGGAGCTGCAAAGAGTTGGACACAACTGAGCAACTTTCACACATGCAGGTCAACTTCCTGGGCAAAAAGCAGAATGGACAAAGGGTGACAAGTGAGGCTAGGGGACAAGTGGAATAAACCTAGAAGAATCCTTTGATCACTGTGTGGTCTTTCGTGAGGTATTGAAATTTCCTGGGCTTCAGTACTCTCGTAAACAAAATTAGGGAATTCTACTGGAATATTTCTTAAATGCTTTTCCACCCTAAAAACTCTATGTTAAAAACAGAATTTCTTTAGAGATTAGAAAAGATTATGGAAGAAAGACCAGAAAGAAGTATTGGTTAAATTATCCAAAAACCAGTCATTGGATGTATTTGGATTTACTTTCATCATCAGATTTTATACTATTTGTTCCATTTTTTTGATTATTTCCCCTCTCCACTTCTTTCTTGTCTTCTTTATGGTTAAATAATTTAGACATTCAACACAGTAACAACAGCAATAGGTCCTTGATTTATATGCTTAAAATTCCTTTGAAGTGCTGACAATATTTCAAAAATAATGTTTCAATTAATTATCTTTTGAAAGGTAATATGGGCACATAAAACCAAACTCAAAAGTCTTAAAAAGAGTCTTCAGCAAAAAGAAAGTTTCCATCCCACTATTGCTTCTCAGCCATGTAGTTACCTTCTCTGGAGGCCATTTTCTTGCTTATTTTTCTAGAGCTACTCCACTATAAGCATTGACATTTGTATACATACATACATGTGTATGTGGATGCATGTATTTTGCCAATAACTCCCCTCAGTAGACCTCAAATTGCTTCCAATTTGTTGACAGGTATTTATGTTGTTTCCAATCTTTCACCATTATAATGGTTTATGAAGATTTTTTACACCTATGTTATTTCACACGTGGTTAAATTTCTCTGTAAATTGCTAGAAGATTAACTACGGGGTCAAAGAATATATGGTGTTTTATTCTAGACAGATTTTGCTAAACTGCCTTTCATGGAAACTGAGTATTAAGCTAAATTTTTGTAGCAATAAACCTTACATTAAAGGACTAGTTTCTAACATTCTCAATAATTCCTTTTTTAAAAAACATTGCCTTGGAAAAATCACTTTTTATAGCTATGTTTTTAATCCCTTTGTCACTTAAAAAGAACTATTCTCCAAATATCAAGTTTTGTTAACATGCACACTTATCATAGCACACAGGTCTACGTCAATTCTGCTGGGAAAGTAAAGACTCATGAATAATTACTAAAAGTATTCAATTATTTCTACTTGCATTTAATGTCAAAACAGATTTTTTTTAAAAAGGCTCCTGACACTCTGGATACAAAGTCTCTTCATTTAGGTCATCTTGCAACCAGTATTTACAACATTCCATCTTCTCAGGGAGTTCAGGGATTTCGTATTTACATATCTTACAGGGCAAAAAGTCAAAGAAGAAATGCTGGGTCAAGGAATAATACATCTGGAAATTAAAACATAAGAAACAATAACAATGGAAAAGAAACTCATTTCTGAAATGAGAACCCTACAGAAGTTCAGTTTTAACACAATTTTAGGAGGAAAGAATTGGCAACAAAAATTAGTGGGGGAGAGGGGAGGGCAGAAAATTGAACTTGGAAAACAAAATATTTAAATGAGAGAAACAGAACATACAGGAGAAGAAAGGTGTATGTGTCTGTCTGTACATTAATCCATGTTTCCTGAAAAGTTTACACCTTTACAATTCAGTTACTGAATAAATAAATCAGTTAATGAAACTCATAATGATCTTGGTCAGTGTTAGAAAAAGCTAAAAGGTATATAGAGAAAATATCCTCCTGTCAGAGACACAAGCACTGACCTGTAAAAGCTGTGTTGCAGTGGCTCTCTGCTCAGGATTCTTCACTAGGCACTTCTTAACAAAATCGGTGAAATCATCAGACCAAAGTTCTGGCTTCCTGAATGTTGGTGGTGGGTTTGTGGGAATCATAAATATAGCCTGATACAAATGAAAAATCCAAAAGACACAGTCAGAATCACAATAACACACCAAATAAACAAATCTCTTTATCTATCTTTAATCAGACTCAAAAATCTGAAAAATAAATTTAAGCTCTTCTTGGATTTCCAGTCAAATTGCAATTCAGGAAGCAAAGCCATCTGCTACTAATGTAATCATTTCCCATTAAATTTCCTCTATTTGAATTGTAGTTCATTGAGCACATCATTCTTTATTTTATCTATTATTTTTAATCAGTCTCCAAAGAAGACTGTATTTCTAACCCTTATACCAAATGGAGGACATTCTCTGGTTAAACAGATATATACTTCAATTTTGCTATTGCATGCCAGACTTGATTCCCATTTCAGTATTTTTTTTCAGTACTGCTATTTAGAATGGATAGCAGCAGCCTAATTTGCGTCTGCAATTCAGAATGTTAAAAGCACAAATATAATTACTGCTGTGGTTTGAAATAATACTTGGTGGAAGCAAGTCTTTAATTTCTCTTTCTAAATATATGAGTCAAGAATGCAAATTAAAAGCTTTAAAAGTAATATGCCATTTTATCACTAATGATTTAATATTAATAACTTATGGCAGCTCAGACTGTAAAGAATCTGCCTGCAATGTAGGAGACCCGGGTTCAATCCCTGGGTCGGGATGATCCCCTGGAGAAGGAAATGACTACCCACTCCAGTATTCTTGATTGGAGAATTCCATGGACAGAGGAGCCTGGTGAGTTACAGTCCATAGGGTTGCAAAGAGCCGAACATGACTAAGCAACTAATACTTTCATTTCTTCACCTGATATTCAGAGAGCTCAAAATTCAAAAACTTTTTAAAAGTCTCCCTGTCATCTTGTCTTTATAGCTACCCAGTTATCCTTTTTTTGACAATGAGAATTAATCCCTAAAGTTCTCAGAAAATCACTGTATGCAATGAGTTAACTTCTCTCCTGGTCTGTAGAATAGTTCCTGATAAACTACCATCACTAAAACAATATTTTCTTTGAAAGGATATGAAAACCATAATAAAGTAAAAAAAAAACAAAAACGTATCCTGCACACAACAAATATTAGATATCATCACTTTCATTTCCACATAATGTTATTTTAAAAAGACAAGAGACAAACACAGCAATGACAAAAATTTTACAAAGTAAAATGAACTCAACCATATATAACTACCTATAGTTTAAGAAGTAAGTTTCTATATAATGGCACAATCAACATTACAGGTGACAAGAGGAAAAAATGGCTTTTTGGCAATCAATATAGACATTCACAGTATACAATATACGTGGACCTCTTAAAGGCACAGTATACACAGGCCTCTCAAAGATGTATTCAGGGGTGAAGCATCCACAATGCTTTCTAGACTTTGGTATTCCCTGACTGTCCAGAAGAGAGGTGTCCGTCTCTGCCCTAGCTCATTTCTTCGCTGATTTTTGCTGGTCCTAGCCTTGTGATGAAGAGGCTTGTGCAACTCAATGAAACTATGGGCCAGGTGGTGCAGGGCCACCCAAGATGGATGAGGCATTGTGGAGAGTTCTGACAAAACGTGGTCCACAGACGGAGGGAATGGTAAACCACTCCAGTGCTCTTGCCTCGAGAATCCCATGAACAGTATGAAAAGGCAAAAATATATGACACCAGAAGAAAAGCCCCCCAGGTCAGAAGATGTCCAATATGCTCCTGGGGAAGAGCAGAGAAATAGCTCCAGAAAGAATGAAGATGTTGGGCCAAAACAGAAATGATGCTCAGCTGTGGATGTGTCTGGTGGTGAAAATAAAGCCCAATGCTGTAAGAACAATACTGCATAGGAACCTGGAATGTTAGATCACTGAATCAAGGTAAATTGGCTATGTCAAACAACAGCAAGAATGAACATCGACATCTTAGGAATCGGTGTATCAAAATGGATCAGAATAGGAGAATTTAATGCAGATGACCATTATATCTACTACTGTGGGCAAGAATCCCTTACAAGACATGGAGTAGCCCTTCTGAGGGCTACGAAAGAGTCCAAAATGCAGTACTTGGATGCAATCTCAAAAACGACAGAATGATCTCTGTTCGTCTCTAAGGCAAACCATTCAACATCACAGTAATCCAAGTCTATGCCCCAACCACTAATGCTGAAGAAGTTGAACTTGAACAGCTCTAGAAAGAACTACAAGACTTTCTAGAACTTACACCAAAAAAAGATGTCCTTTTCATCCTAAGGGATGGTAGTACAAATGTAGGAAGTGAAGAGATACCTAGACTAACAGGCAAGTTTGGCCTTGAAGTACAAAATGCAGCAGGGCAAAGGCTAACAGAGTTTTGCCAAGAGAACACACTGGTCATAGCAAACACCCTCTTCCAATAACACAATAGACGAATCTACACACGGACATCAGCAGACTGTCAATACTGAAATCAGACTGATTGTGTTCTTTGCAGCCAAAGATGGAGAAGCTCTATAAAGTCAGCAAAAACAAGACCAGGAGCTGACTGTGGCTCAGATCATGAACTCCTTATTGCAAAATTCATGTTTAATTTAAAGAAAGTAGGGAACACCACTAGGCCATTCAGGTATGACCTAAATCAAATCCTAAAAGATGATGCTGTTAAAGTGCTGCACTCAATATGTCAGCAAATTTAGAAAACTTAGCAAGGCCACAGGACTGAAAAGGTCAGTTTTCATTCTAATTTCAAAGAAGGGTAATGTCAAAGAATGTTCAAACTGCTGTGCAGTTGTATTCACTTCACACACTCTAATGTAATGCTCAAAATTCTTCAAGCTTGGCTTCAGTAGCGACTGAAGAACTTCCAGACATACAAGCTGGGTTTAGAAAATGCAGAGGAACTAGAGATCAAAATGCAACATCCACTAGATCAGAGGGAAATCAAGAGAATTCCAGAAAAAAATCTACTTGGGCTTCATTGACAATGCAAAAGCAAAAGCTTTGAGTATGTGGATCACAACAAACTATGGAAAATTCTTAAAGAGATGGGAATTACCAGACCACCTTCCCTGTCTGCTGAGAAACCTGTATGCAGGTCAAGAAGCAACAGTTAGAATCAGACATGGAACAATGGACAGGTTCAAAATTGGAAAAAAAGAGTACAACAAGGCTGTGTTTATTTAACCTATATGCAGAGTACATCATGTGAAATGCCGGGGTAGATGACTCACAAGCTGGAATCAAGACTGCCAGAAGAAGTATCAGCAACCTCAGATACACACATGTTACCACTATAATGGCAGAAAAGTGAAGAGGAATTAAAGAACCTCTTGATGAGGGTGAAAGAAGAGAGTGAACAAGCTGGCTTTAAAAAGTCAACATAAACTAAGACCGTGGTATATCCAGTCCCATCACTTCAAGGCAAACAGAAGGGGGGGAAAGTGAAAACAGTGACAGACTGTTTTCTTGGGTTCCAAAATCACTGCAGACAGTGACTGCAGCCATGAAATTAAAAGACACTTGCTCCTTGGATGGAAAGCTATGACAAATCTAGACAACATATTAAAAAGCAGAGACATCACTTTGCCAACAAAGGTCCACATAGCTAAACCTATGGTCTTTCCAGTAGTCATGTATGGGTGTGAGAGCTGGACCATAAAGAAGGTTCAGAGCTGAAGAATTGATGCTTTCAAATTTTGGTACTGGAGAAGATTCTTGCAAGTCCCTTGGACAGCAAGGAGATCAAACCAGTCCATCCTAAAGGAAATCAGTCCTGAATATTGGCCACCTGATGTGAAGACTCATTGGAAAAGATCCTGATACTGGGAAGATTGAAGGCAGGAGAAGGGGATGACAGAGGATGAGATGGTTGGATGGCATCACCAACTTGATGGACATGAGTCTGAGCGAGCTCTGGGAGTTGGTGATGGACAGGGAGGCCTGCAAAGAGTCCATGCGGTTGCAAAGAGTCAGACACAACTGAGCGACTGAACTGAAATGAACACACAAAAGCATGGCATTAGACTTCATATGGAATTAAAAGATGCAGCAGGAAATACGATCACTGCCCTTAAGAAACTTCTAACCCAGTCCAGTAATGAGAGAACAGTAAAAGATTTAAAGAACTGTACAATGATAAAGAAAATCATATAAAGCATTAAGGAGAGAGGTCATTCTCCTTAGAAGAAATAGGATAAGGAGAAGTGAAATAAGACTGTTGGGAGGAGCACAGAACAAGCTGATTATCCTATAAGGGACTAAGAAATGATAAGATTAGAAGAGGAATGAAGGATATGGAGTTTGGTCAGCAAGAAAGTGCACAACTCTTTTTAGTTGGATCCCCACCCCCTCCCGTGTGTGCGTCTTTATATTTTTGCTTTTAATCAGGGTTTGTGTGTGACCTAAGAAAAGAATTAAGAAAAAACAAACAAACCTAGAGATATTCTAAATGTGGCTAGCACAGAGGTCTCAGGATGCATCATAAACAGTTTTAAACTGGGATGGTATTTACAGGAACAAAATGGAAGAAATAAGGTATACACACTACAAGGGCTTCCCTTGTGGCTCAGCTGGTAAAGAATTAAAGAATCCACTGGCAATGCGGGAGACCTGGGTTCAACTCCTGGGTTGGGAAGATCTCCTAGTGAAGGGAAAGGCTACCCACTCCAGTATAATGCCTAAAGGGAAAGGCTACTCGCTCCAGTAAAACACTTAAATTTAATGTCTGAAACTATAAAATCTCTAGAAGGAAAAGCTTCATGACATTAGTCTTGGCAATAATATCTTGGATATGACATCAAAAGCTCAGGCAAAAATAGCTTACAAACTCTAGGAGTAAAAATAGTGCATTATCCTGCACTTTTCCTCACTTTAAGTTTTAGGAGTGACCTTTGATTCTGAAAATTTGTTGATGTTTATCTAGGATAATGGGGAAAGCAATATGGAGGAATTCTGAGAAAAAAAAGTGTGGTTTTACAAGGACCTACTGTATAGCACATGGGATTCCCCAGTGGCTCAGCAATGAAGAATCCTCCTGCAATATAGGAGA